CAACTTCTTGGTATTCATCAGGTTTCTTAGTTGACTGAATGACTTTTCTTATTTCTGCAAATCGTAGGATACTCAGCTACAGCGGACATGCAGTAAAGCCTCATTTTCTTTAAAAAATAAAATAAAATAAAATAAATAAAATAAAAAAAGCGATTCATTTTGGTTTGACTTAAATTAGGTGTCACTGAAGGTAAATGAAGCTATATTCATGCTGCATGGGAATTGGAGTGTTGGAGCTAAAAGCAGTGTTCTGTGTACGTGCGAACTGACATCCTGTTGTTCAGCCCAGCTTATGTAACTTTCAGTAAGTCAAACTTCTTTGACCATATTAGGAGGTGAAAATAGCCCCCATCAGCGCCAACAGCAGAGTATAACTGCTGTAGGAGGGAGGAGAAAGGGACGACAATTGGCTAAAGGAAAAAGTCGTTAAGTTTATCATCACAGGATGGCATGATAAATAAATAAATAAATAAATAAATAAATAAATAAAAATAAGAGAGAAAAAGGAAAATTTCAGATAGATGGAGAAGTAGCACAGAAACACACTTCTAAGTGAGGAAATAAGGAAAAGCCTGCTGATGACCAATGCCATATGCAAACAAACCTGTAACTGCAGTTTCGTTATTTATGAATTAACCTTAAGTAGTGAATTAATTCTTAGGATTTCTTGTGCTAGTGAGGTTCTCAAAGGAAAAAGGAATGATAATAGGAAAGAAGGTAAGAAAGAAAGATAGTTTTGGTTCCTAGAGATTGTGAATTCAAACCTGGTTAGGGAATAATATTTGCTCCTCACGTTTTCTGCCTTGAGGTGCATATTTGGGGTGAATAGTAAGGGACTTTGGAAAACCTGAAACTATTTTGTTGAATTGATAGTTAAGTGGTTGTCCTAATTTTTAATTGGAGAGATCACACCGCAACATGAGTTCAGAACAGTAATTATGGGAAGTTTTGTTGGATTAATTTGATCACACGCTTCAGGTCTTATTCTTTTCTTTCCACTGATTTAGTGTTCGGTTCATTTAAACCAAGCGGAGACACAGACTTGAGAGAATAAGTAGTTTAGTTGTGCGTGTCCCGCTCTTGCAGTTTGAGCATTTTCCAGAAATAATCTAGGTGTTTAAGAAGTGTGAGGAAGCTCTCGATGGGATTACTAACATGCATGAGGAATTTCAAACTTTAGCTTAAGTCTGACATTTGCTTGGTGTGTGAGGGCACAGAGACGTGTATGGACCGTATGCTTGACTGTGTTTGTTTTGTTTGTTTGTTCCTTTATTTATATGGGCGTGGCCGAGCCTTGAGAAACATCAACAAAGCCATTGGACTATTCTGAGTAAATTAACCAATTCAAATTCAAATTCAGGATCCTGAAACAATTCGGTTGTAATCTCTAATTGATGGAGACCATCTTAAGAATCCATTGCACAAGGCATCGTCAGTGTTACTGGAACTGTTTTTAAAAAAAAAAAAACCCATGCATGGTTGTATATTTTAGTTGAATCATTTATACTCATTGAATTATTGTTGTTTGCTTTGTATTTTAATTTCTTTGCAATTTTTTTTCTCTGTGACGCAGGTGGAGATGCTGGTGGCAAAGTGGATCCCACTTATTTTTTCTCCCACACACATTCTTGCTCTCTCTCTGTGTGTATGTGCATGTGTATGTGTTTGTGTGTCCGTGTGTGTTCATGTCATGATGTCACTGTACCTTTAATTGCGCTTGCTGTTTGTAACTGTATGTGTCTGATGTTGAAGGTATCAGAGGCTAGGGTCAGTAAGAGATAGGACATTTTTGTGCATAACCATTAATCCCTAGGTGATCGGCTCGGGGGACGTCTGGTCCGGCCGGAGTGCAAGGCTTCCTGGTGTTGCGAGGTGACCAAGGGAGAGGATGGAAAAAGATGAAGATTGGACTCTCATGGACTCATGTCGATACCTGAGATGAAGGCTAAAGGATAGTGTCGCTTCTCACCTTACTGGGGCTAGTTTAACTAACTTAAGAAGAAGTTTGCTGAGTTTTATGACGGTTCTTGTCTTGAATGCTGCTAGGAACCATCCCTGATTAATTACAATGGGGTTTCTGCTGGAGGAGGTGAAGAGGATAACCAATGGACAAGCATAACAAGAGGACAAAGACATCACCATAATGTATCATCGTTCTATAGGCCATCCGACGACTGCGACACCAATAGAGGAATTGTTCACAATGAAAGATGAGTAAAATGCAACTACTCTACACCCCAGACTGGTTTCCATACCTGCATTCACGTCATTATAGTCACATCTGTAGCTGCATGGACTTGACTAGTCTCACTAACCATACAATGGCGGCGTCACTTAGCTGATGTTTAATTACTTTTGTTCCAGTTTTACAACTTTGATTGTTTTATTTGTCCGAGGGGAGGTTATAGGTTTAAGGTGTACGTAAAGCTTTTGCATGGGCCGGAGGGGCCAGGCAGATCTGAGGTAATAAGGAGATAAATCCTAACAGAATATAGCATGTGTGTATTTCTGGTAAACTACCGATAATGAGCCCAGAACTGACATGTTTCTGGATAAGTGCTTAGGGCACATTAATGACAATGTTATAGATCATAATGATGCAGATTAATTCCTCGTATGCTGGGGATTCAGAACTACTGACCGTATATTCTTAGGTTACACATAATTTTTGTTCCCGTTTGTGTCTAAGTTCTTTAACTTAGTGTGATAACATAACCATGACTGTTAGTACCCCATTTCAGGTGCGACAGATCTTCTGGAGGGTGCTGGATGTCACGATTTGACTAGTGTTTTCTTATAGTGATGAGTTAGCATGTGCTCATTTTTGAGGGTGTGTGGATGTTGCATGAAGGGTTTTGACTGTGGCTTCGAAGGTTGAGGATCAGATTAGGTGATTCTGATTGAGTTTAGGTCGAATTGGCTGGATGACTTTTAAATTTGGTTTTAAGGACTTATTTCTGGTCGTTTTACCGAGCGGCCATTTACATTGCTCCTAGTTATCAAGACAATCAGGTGAGTTTTGCTTTTACCATTAGCCCGTAAATGTTTGAGTGAATCATTGCATGCCGTGCTGGCAAACTAGCTCTTTAATTTAGGATAGTGAGTAGTATAGAAAGGGGGTGTGAATGTGGGCATGGATGCTTTGTCTTGGGTCTAATATTTAGGAAGTTTTTGTGGTAATAGGTTTATAGGCAATTGGCGTGCTAATTCAAGTTTTTCTTGTTGACATGTTGTGTTTTGCTCGCTGTGGGGAGGATGGAGTCGGCACCACCTCGCTGCCCGAAGATGGACAAAGGGAGGACTGAGCCAAGGACTTATGCCTTTGCTTTCCTGACAAATAAAGGACACATGTCCACATGAAGCCCTCATACAGCAGAAGGCCTCCAACGCCGACATGGATGCTGAACTTGTATTTTCCGTTTTATTCTTTTGAATGAAGTTTTCAACCGGACTTATTACTGTTTCATTACGTCTTCGCTAAAGCTAATTGTTCATTATTCATCATATTTGTCACCTGTTTATCTTCATGTGCTTTTGTTGATTTGTGTGTGTTTTTTCTTTTGATCACTGACGAGGATATGTGTCACCAGTGTCCTCGCATGCACGCTCTGTGCGTCAGGTGTTCGTCCTTGTGGTCGGGGAGGACATGGAAGAATTTTCCCTGTTAAAGTACAGCGGGCAGGGTTTTTTGCCTCCATACAGAGTGCGCATGCAATACATTCGTGAAGTAATGGGTTCAGTTAATGCTAAGGTCATGTTTCATGTATTGTTTCATCGTTTTTCATTGTCTCAGCTGTGAGCCCATCGGTTGTTTTTCAGTGTCTTAATCATTGTTCATTACATATACGTGTTAACGTTGCTGTGTTAGTCTGGAACATCATCTCGTGTTATGCCCTTTTGTCTCTATCCTCGGTCATATTGTTACATTATCATTATTTGTTGCTCATTTGTTCTGTTACTTAGTTAAGCATTCATTTATTGGTATACCCTACCTTGCTAATTTGTTTACGATAGTAATGTGTGGTGGACAAGTCCACCAAAGGGAGGACTGTTGGTGCCAAAAAGGTCAAGAGGTCATCTACAAAATGTATTGAGTTAAAGCTGAGTTCTTAGGTTGAAAGTGTTTTCTGGCTAGAGTTCGTGTGCTGTTCCAACATCAGCTCCAAAGGAATTTCCTGTTTTGGTCTCTGCTTGCTTCCAGTAAAAGTGCTTAAAGCTTATCTGACTTGCTAAATACTTGATGTGATTCCAAGAGTGCTGTTGTGTCCCAGACAGAAGTCTCTACCCACTGTTTCCACAGAAGAGATGTGCTACCAAATATGGTCTGGTTCTCGCCTGTTTACTGCTGAATGTTAGAAAGGCTGTGAGCTATAAGAAGGAAGGACTCGTGATTGTCTGGGTCTTTTGGCTGTCCTGAGATGTGAGAAGACAAATAAAGACCACGCTGTCTCGACTAGGAAAACTCTCTCCGACTCCTTTCTTTAAGAATAACAGAAAAAGCCCACAGCATCACCATAGCCAGAGCTGAAGAGATGCTGAAAGGAGAGAAGAAGATGTTTGCAGTTGAGTTGTCTTCACTCAGCTTTCTGAGCAGATCCAGAGAGAAGCTGGTGTTGGCCTTGGATAGAGGGGTGGATGAGGCCATTTTGTCTGAAGGAGACAGAACAGAGCAGAAATCACAAGGTAGCCTCTGATTCAGTCAGTGTTTGGTTAAAATGCAGTGTCATCCCATTTTCTGTTATTATTTAAAAATATGGATTATGGCCAACAGGGTTGTTGGTGCCTGTAATGGAGACCAGGGGTTCCATTCATTATGATTTATGTTATGTTTCTGATTGAGTTACAGACAAAAGGTTTTGTTATTGAAGTGATTTATTTTGTGTTGGACATTTGTAACAGATTCTTTAGAAGCAGAGGGACTGGCCACCCTTCCTGTGTAAAGAGAAATTGTTGGTTAAATGTCGATGTGTGTTTAAGTTAATCTCCAAAGTTTCACTCACCTTTCTGGTAGTGTCTCCTCAGCAGGGCGGGGCAGCAAAGGGAAGTTTGTGTCCTAGGTGCTGCTTTTAATCTGCTGGAGCATACCACTTAAATAAGGAGGTGTGATTCTTGGAGGAGTTATGTGAAACCTAGTTTCTGTTGTTTGATTTAACTTGGATTTATTTAGTATGATTTGTATTTATGTAAATAATGTTTGGTACCATTTATTTTGGAGGTTGGGTTCTGTAAATATTATTTAATTATTTCTTTGATTACCCCTCTTCTTGGTTTCTTCCAATCAGTCACCTAGTTATAAAAGGCAGTGAGTGTTGGTGTTAGAAGGATGTTGGTGTTGGTGACAAAGCATGTTGCAATAAAGCCACCTCAACCTGATTTATTTGTTTGCCTCTCCTTCAAACCACGTGCCGCCGCCAGTCAAACCTGATAGTGCCTGTCGTGGTGGCAACCCACAAACCTGCTGTTGGACACCGGCGGTTAGAGATGCTGTCAGGCTGAAGAAAGAGTCCTATCAGGTTTTTTCAGCCTGTGGGACTCCAGAGGCAGCTGACAGGTATCGGTAGTCCAAGCAGAATGCGGCTCGAATGGTCACGGTGGCAAAACCCCAGGCATGGGAGGAGTTTGGTATGACCATGGAGCAAGAAGTCTATACAACTGGTGGTTAAAAAGCTCCTCTGTGGCAATGCTCCAGGGGTGGATGAGACCCGCCCAGAGTTCCTTAAGGCTCTGGATGTTGCAGGGCTGTGTTGGCTGACGCGGCTCTGCAATATCGCATGTACATCTGGGGCAGTCGCACTGGACTTGCAGACCGGGGTGGTGGTTCCCTTATTTAAAAAGGGGGACCACAGGGTGTGTTCCAACTACAGGGGGATCACACTCCTAAGCCTCCTTGGTAAGGTCTTTTTAGGGGTTCTGGAGAGGAGGGTCCGTTGGATTGTCGAACCTCGGATTCTGGAGGAGCGATGTGGTTTTTGTTCTAGCCGTGGAACACTGGACCAGCTCTATACCCTTAGGGGGATCCTGGAGGGTGCGCGGGAATTTGCCCAACCAATCTACATGTGTTTAGTGAAATTGGAGAAGGCGTTTGACCTCCCTTAGGGGGCCCTGGGACTATGGGGTACCGGGACTATGGGGTACCAGGCCCTCTGATACAGGTTGTTAGGTTCCTGTGTGACCGGTGTAAGAGCTTGGTCCGCATTGCTGGCAGTAAGTCGGGCTCGTTCCCAGTGAGAGTTGGACTCCGCCAAGGCTGCCCTTTGTCACCGATTCTGTTCATAACCTTTATTGACAGGATTTCTAGGTGCAGCCAAGGTGTTGAGGGCATCCATTTTGATGGCCTGAGGATTGGGTCTCTGCTTTTTGCAGATGATGTGGTCCTGTTGGCTTCATCAGAATGTGATCTTCAGCTTTCGCTGGAGCGGTTCGCAGCAGAGTGTGAAGCAGCTGGGATGAGAATCAGCTCCTCTAAATCTGAGACCATGGTCTGGATTCGGAAAAGGGTAGAATGCCTTCTCTGGGTCAGGGATGAAGTCCTGCCTCAAGTGGAGGAGTTTAAGTATCTCGGGGTCTTGTTCCCGGGGACCTGGAGCACAAGCTCAATTGGCGGATTGGTGCTGCATCTGCAGTGATTCGGGCATTGTACCGGTCTGTCGTGGTCAAGAGTGAGCTTAGTCAGAAGACGAAGCTCTCGATTTACCGGTCGATCTACATTCCTACCCTCACCTATGGTCATGAGCTTTGGGTGGTGACCGAAAGAACGAGATTGCGGATATAAGCGGCAGAAATAAGTTTTCTCTGCAGGGTGGCTGGGCTCTCCCTTAGAGATAGGGTGAGAAGCTCAGACATCCGGGAGGGGCTCGGAGTAGATTTTCTGCTCCTCCGCATTGAGAGGAGCCAGGTGAGGTGGCTCAGGCATCTGGTTAGGATGCTTCCTGGATGCCTCCCTGGGGAGGTTTTCCGAGCACATCCAGCCAGGAGGAGGCCTAAAGGAAGACCCAGGACATATTGGAGGGACTATATCTGTCACCTGGCCAGGGGATGCCTTGGGATTCCCCAGAAGAGTTGGCCCAATTAAGTGGGAGAGGGAAGTCTGGGCCTCTCGATGTAGCTGCTGACCCTGCGATCCGACTCTGGATAAGCGGAAGAAAATGGATGGATGGATGGCCAACTGTTTATTCATTTTTGGTAAAATGCTGCATAAAACCAAAAAGAACTATTTAAATTCTGGAATAAAACATTCAAATGAATGAGGATTCTTTGAAACAGCGTTATGATCAGTAGATCTGTCCATTATCAGACCTATCTGCATCAGGAGCTACAGCCTCTCACTGTAACAAATGAAGAAAAAGAGCATTTAGCTTTTTTCCTAACGTTTATTGTTGCCTAATCTAGATGCATCACATCTGGTATTATATCTTCTATGATGTTGCATGCTTTCAAATAAAAAAAACACGCAAACCAATAATCTTTAGACAGAAGTCAAAGTAGCTGATGGGAAAACACTCATGTTAACTTCCATCTGAATTCAAAGAAAGCTTAATAAAGTTGCCTAAATTAGATCAACACCTTGGTCAGCATAGTTCACTCAGACTGAATGGCTTTGTTGACTTTACAAATTATTTTAACGTTTTATTAAAACCACATCAGGAGTTTTTTCCTCTATAATTTTCAATGTATCTACAGGGCTCAGATAGGCAACACTGGAAACAGGAAGTTCTGATTTAATTCCACTGTGACCCGAAATCATTCCAAAACAAATTCAGGAATAAATCTAAAGATTTTATTTAAACATACATTTTAAATATACACAAAGACTGACATGAGTTAAGAGTTTAACCACCAGCTGATGATTTTTAAATGTCTTAAAGTGGAATAAAACAACGAAAACTAACTTGAACATTGAAACTTTTGCTTAAATAGAAACATTTCACAAATCAAGAACCTGCTTATAAAAGATTCTGCTTGATCTCGAACTTTGAACAATAGTTTCGATTTTTCATCAGATGGTTGAGATGGAAAAACTTAGTGAAATCGTCCTTTAATGAAATACCATCTCAACCTCGAGCGCGTGTGCGCGCGCGTGTTCGGTACGGTTCGGACGGCATAAGAGATCGTCTTACCTCCAGCAGGCTCTGATCGGCAAATTTTCACTTAAAAGCAGGGACACGTCTGCTGCGAGTGTTTTTCTTTGGAGGTCGTCCCATTCAGCAGACACACCCAAAACGATTACGTCATCATCCACTCTACGTGCATGAACGGGAAAATGTTCGACCCACAGTTTCCAAAGAAATGCTAAATAGACTGAACCCGGAAGTGGGTGTGGTTTAACCGGAAGTGGGTGTGGTTTACATCAATATATTATTTTAAGTCTGAAATTGATATGGATTGATCAGAAGTTGCTATGTGTATTGTTTATTTGAAAACTATTTACAGAGCAGCCTCAGAATTGAGATTAAATATTTTTTTTATCACAATAGTAAAGAAACTATTACAGAACAAGTTTTTCAATAAAATCAGAACATTAATATTTGAGTGCATGGATTAATACATCTCAACTCATGCAGTAGGAACTAGGAAATATGAAATGCTAGGACCAGACACATTTTTATATATATTTTTGAGTTTTAATTTGATTAAACTGATTTTTTTTCTTAACTTTCTTGGCATTTTCCCACACAAAGTTAAACAAAACAATGTTGATTAAGGTGTGTGTGTGTGTGTGTGTGTGTGTGTGTGTGTGCATGTGCGTGTGCGTGCGTGTGTGTGTGTGTGTGTGTGTGTGTGAGAGAGAGAGAGAGAGAGAGAGAGAGAGAGAGAGAGAGAGAGAGAGAGAGATAGAGAGAGAGAGAGAGAGAGAGAGAGTGAGAGAGAGAGAGAGAGAGAGAGAGAGAGTTCAAAAATAAAACCCGACCGGAGCGGAGGTAGTGAACAAAGCACGTCAGCTCTGTCTTGTCAAATGCACCATGTAAGTTACGAAAAAAGTAACTTTAAATATTCAACCGAAAAAGAGGCGAGCTGAAGAAAACCTAGGGAAAACTGAAGAAACGTAAGCAACAGTGAAGCAATCACAGCGAGATCCGTTACTGTCTGTGTTTTTTTTATTATCATTAAATGCTTATTACAATTGCTCGTGAGACAACAACACATAATGAAAACATACAAGGCATCTTTAGTAACAATAAAAGAAAAAGTATAAGAAACTTTAAAAGAGGCACTTATATCACAAAGTAAAACATTGTTACAAGATTAAACATTTTTCTGCAGCATAACAAATGGCTTTTGCAGTTGCATTTGAATTTTTTTATACGAGTCAAAGTGGTTAAGAACATATGGAATTCATTTGCGAAACAGTTTATGTTTGGCAGTTGTTTTTTCCATTTGCTTTTGTGGATGTGATATTTACCCATAATAATAATGTTAATTAACAATGAATTATTCCAATTTATTTTAGAATTGTAAATAAGAATATCTTCATTTGTAAAATGATCAAGTTCCCTTATTTTATTTCTTAACCAACAATGGACTTCTTCCCAAAACCTTTATACGACAGCTGAAAAATAAGTGTTCTGTTCCTTCAGGGCTTTCCTGACAGAATTCACAAGGGTCAACTTCAAAACCAAATCTCTTCCTCAGTGTCTTATGGATAGTAGTTGTTAAGAATTTTAAATTGCATTTCTTTTACTTTGGACATTATAGGCCATTTTATACATTTTAATTGTTTTTCTTCAATTTTTGGATTTCCGAGTATTTTTATTTTAATCTTTCTATCATAATCATGATAGATATATTTTTAAAGGCTCCATTTAAAAATTTATTTTCACATTTTCTTTCTGTGATGTTCAATTCTCCTATTAATAAATTAGGAAGTTTTATTTGAACATTAGAGAAGAGAATTGTGTTTTTTATCATTTGTATCAAAGTCACCGGTATAGCCTTACATACTTTCTTATATTCCTGAAGAGAACATTGAATGTTATTAAATTTGCATTTAAAATCTGTAGCTGTAATATTTCACCATCTTTATCCATAATATCGTGTACAAAGATAATTCCTTGATCAAACCACTGTTGGTTAAACAAAGACTTTCTGTTTGAAACAATTACTCCATTATTCCACAAGGTGGCACAATGAGGAGTAAAATTATGGGTAAATACCATCAGCACGATTACAGATATTTACTCGTTTCATGCTCGTATTCGTCAAAAATGCTTTATCCGTACCGGATACTCGTTTCAGACGAGTATCCGGCTCATCCCTACTCGTAACTTTAGTTAAATCGACTTTGACCAAATTGCGATTTTGTTACTATTGATGCTGCTGAGAAATAAAAGGCTCCGGTGTGAAATGTATGGTTGTAGTTGTGTGTCTTATTTTGAAAGAACTATTTACGCGTTACCATAGCGATCAGAGGGCATTAAGAAGCATGCCTGTCTGAGAAAAGTGTATAAAGCATGCAGTGAGGGGTTTTACAGTCTTAACATCTATAATAATTGTAAAAAATAATGTTGGCTACTTCATGGATTTCACCTACCGCGGGTTATTTTTAGAACATAACTCCTGCAATAAATGAGGGACTGCTGCATTATTAACAGTAGAGTCTGGGACATCTAATTGATTAACATCAACATTGATTATTATGCACTATTATTTTCATTCAACAGTGATAAAGTCCTAATGTCTTCAAGAAAGTTCCTTTTTTTCCCATCTGAGCATCGGGGGAAAGGCTGTCTTGCAATTGTTGAGGTCACTATAGTGTGTGCCCCATTTCTTCCAGGATCACTCTCTTTATAGGTTTTAATGGACTCCTAGTACTGTGAAGTGGTTTCATGGTACAAAGGCATTGTATTCCAAGATCTGGGAGACTGTAGAAATGAGCAGTGATGCCCTTCCTACCATCTTTCCAGAAAAATAAGTGATCTGGAAGCTGTTAGGCTTACTTACAGCAGCACTTTCTGCACCTGCATAAACTCCAGGACACATTTACTAACAGTGTAGGGTGCTGTATGTGCTGCAGCTTTGAATTTTTTAATTATATTTTGTTAATATTTTGTCTATGGTGTCTTGTTATGAAGTGTACAAGAGTAAAAGTGTTTTTAGCATGTGCTTCAAAGCGAAGTTTGACTGGGAAACTCAAAGCTCAATAGTCTGTATCAACAGAAATTCACTTGCAGCCTATGTAATATTTGATGCGTCAATTTATTCTACTCAATCTTGCAAATACATAATGTGTGGCAATGTCATCACAACACACACAACTATTAGATCCTTAAGATCAAACCAGTGTCATTCTTTTGGTCCACTGCAGTGCAGCAGTCAAAAAAAAAAAAAAAAAAAAGAATAAGTGAAGTGGCCACAAATGGCCAGGATAGAGCCCAGAGAACTAATGTTTAAAATGTATACAAATATTATTGATTACAATTCTTTACTGTTAATATCAACAATAAGCTTTTTATTTTGAAATTACAAGTATAAAAAAATGCTGTTACATTTACATTTAATGCTGTTACACTGTAATCCTTTATTATAAGTATGGACATAGAATCAAGTGAACAACAGTTTGAAATAAGTTTAATTGGAATTTTGTACTATACAAAGACAAAACAAAAACAACAACGACATATTAAACAAACAAACACAGACAGTGCCTTCATTTGTCCATTACATGTCAAATAGCACTGACCCTTAAGTCCCTGCTCATCAGCACATGCTTTCAAAAAGAGCTCCATGTCCTCTGCAAACTGAAAAACAAAGAGGAACATGCCCCTTGCTCCAGTGTCTTCTTCCTCTGACATGTCTCTTAATACCCTCTGCTGGTCCCCTTGATTTAAGGACAGATATTTTGGCATTGTTACGTGTCCACGGAAAAGTGCCTTATTTTGGACAACCCACTGCACAGCAGGACGCAGATCTTCAACAACTGCTGGCTCCTGTGTCAGGCACATGGGGATACAAACACAGCTATTTCTCTTTTGCAGAACAGTTTTTTAACAGTTATTCAAATGTCACTTACCATGTAATTACACTACTGTTTAAAGTGAATACTGACCTGACTGACTTCCTGGAACTTGTGCTTTGTCAGTCTGAAAATGGGCACGTGTTGCCCTTCAAGCACAGCTTTGGTTTCCTCTCTCTAGTGTGCAAATAGCTTACCAGAGCTTAACAGAAAATTTTGATATTGTTAAGGTGTGTAAACTTTGACACAACATAGAACAGAAGTCAAAATATAAATATCTCCTGAGATCAAAGTTCTCCATCAACAGCAAGCACCACCATTTACGCAAGTAGGGCATGTCTGACTAAAATATTAATATGAAACATATTTAACAACTTTCAAAAGATTCAAGACTCCATTGCTGTGAAAGTAAATAGAATACTTACTATAGTATAGTCAAATGGTGCATCCAGTGCCACGTACAGAGCAGACTATTTGGAAGAAAATATAAAAATGTCATTTTTTTAGAAGCTTAAATTAGCTTCTGTATGAATCTCAAGAAGAAAAGAGAAAAATTACCATCAGCATGAAGATCCCACAGTCAACTCCGTAGTCTTGGCTTGGAAAACCCTGCATTACATTGAAAATAAAGGCTTGTTAATAAAATCCCTTAAAAGAAGACTATTGTAATTCATATTATTCACCATACACTTAAACTAGCACCTTCAAGTCAAAGCTCTTTTTTTCTGACCACTGCCCGGGAATGAGCTTCACTGCAAGATTCCTTTTTTTCAAGACAGTTACATTCACAAGTTAACAGACATCATCATGATGGGTGTGAAATGTTTATTGCTAATAGCACCAGCTGTAACTACAGGTCTTAGGAACACGACCTCAACAAAACAGTATAACAAAATGAAAAAGTACAGTCACATGCTCACAGTTATAATAATAATACATTTTATTTAAAAGCGCCTTTCAGGACACCCAAGGTCACTTGACAGAAAACACGTAATAAAATACAATAAAACAATAACAAAACCCAAACAAGAAAAAAAAAACAGAGAGAAACAGTTCAATAAAATCAGAGGTTGTAGGCAGATTTAAACATATGTGTTTTGAGTTTTGTTTTGAAAAGGGTAACACTGTCGATGTTCCTGATGTCTGGGGGAAGTGAGTTCCAGAGACGAGGAGCAGAGCGGCTGAAAGCTCTGCTCCCCATGGTAGCGAGACGGGCAGAAGGAACCGCAAGATGGATGGAAGAAGAAGATCTGAGAGAACGGGATGGGGTGTGAATATTTGCACTTGCAGTTGGTCTAAATAAAGCATTTTCAGCTTTAATTTGAGTTTGGCATATTTTATAAACTAATATTTAATGGTGTTTTATGTTAAACTAAAACGTTTGAAGACCCTATTTATGTCTGAAACTCATCTAAAGACAGCATCACTGACTTGATCAGAATGTGAAGATGCGAAATAGAATAAAATGTTGAAGCATCATGCTGATATAGTTTATAAAAAAAGCATGTGAGTGTACTGTATGTGTGAACACTCAAGATCAGCAGAACATGATCGTGCACTTAACCTGGAACACTGAACAGGTTCCTGAAAATTCTGGAACAAACCAAAAATGCTTATAAAAATGTGACCTCAAAAGTGAAACATATTGTTGGCCACCAAATCCTGCCTTAGTGTATAATGGGTCAAGAAAGAGGATTTCTCTTTTAGGTGGCTTCAGTACCTAAAAGACAGTTCATGACATACAGTGCTCTTGAATATCAGTTGTTCTTCTTTGGATAGATCCAAAATGGACTGATCACATAGTCTCCAATGTGAGGAGGGATTCATCTTCATCCTTTGGGGAGCATTTTAAACACGCAGGAAGCATGGTGTAGAGAAAGAAACATCTGGGATATTTAACAAGGCTCTCAAGGCTCATGGCATGCAGATTTAAACATTCTCCAGTTGCACAATACCCTAATGGTGTCTGTTCAGATCACACAATATCAGATGGTCACTGAGGAAGTGAAGGGATGGTTTGCCATGTGTTGTTTGGATGGGATACTTAATTGCATTGGGATATTCCTCCATTTGCTGCTGTGAAGTCTGACATGACACTGTCCTGCCACCATCTAGTGGGAAATTTCAGTACTGCAGGAAGATGACTTCAGGTCCAAGCTGTATTATCACCTCCATTGGGTCAGTAGACCCTGTCTGAGTCTGTTTAGGCTTGTTCAATGTGTGAAACACACGGTCGGATCAGTATTTAAAGAGAAAATAGTTCCAAGTGGAAGGCAGATAAGTGACATTTTTGAAACAGAGAAGAGAAGGAGGTTGTTATTTTTCCTCTCTTTTCAATAACAAACCAGCCATCCAGCCGAGGAGCAACAGGGATGGAGGCGTGCAGCTCTCAGCTGGGTGCTGCTAAAGTTGGATGAATGACAGGAGGTGAGTGACTGACAGACACTCCAAAGACCTTCATGTGCCTATCAACGGTTTGAATTCAGCTCCACACCAGTTCTACAATTCAGTCTTTCATCATACTTCCCTACTCATAGCTGGGACTGTTCAGAAAATGGCCAAAATGCAATTAGATCCTCATCAGGAAAAGGCAGTAGAAAAACATGTCTGATATGTGCACTGAGCTCACCGGGTGGAAAGGTTCCACATTCATGTTATCTCCATCTGGGTCTGAAGAGGAAGGACACAGAGGTCAACAACCATCCCATCAACACCAAAGGACACCTTCACCACGTCTCACTCTGTAAAACCACTTGTTTTATCCAGGATCAGGTGACAAGAAGGCCAGCTACCATTTATTTTTATTGGACCACCATGAACAACGAGCGCATCTTTAAATGACCTCCATCAAACATTTGCCCTATCACACCTGCTCTGGTTACTGATCAAAGGACACTTTTAGATCCAGCATCTCCAGAGTCTGCTGCTCAGCTTTATTCTGGTGATTCAAAGAGAAAATGTCCTGATCGATGTGACAGAAAGTCTGTTTCACATCCGATGCCTGCTTACAAAGTATCCAAACTTCAAGGATTTTTTTGACTCTTTAAATTTATATTTCTCTATTTTCTCAACTGAATTTTGAAATATGCAACTTTTTCACACTGCATCCAAGTTGTGCTACAGAAAAATCTGATATATTGTTTATTTTCATACATTAAACACTAATAGTAGTTTGCAGGTAAACATAGATTTTTCACTAAGCAGTGACAAATACAATTGCACGTTTGTTCTAACTTTTAGAGTTTTAAATCTGAGGATAAAATGTCCTTGTATATTTAACTGAGCATTTTTTTAAGTATCAGCAGATATACGTATTATAATTCCTTCTTCTCAGTGCATGACCTGGTGAGAAGTGAAGATACCTAGGACTTATGAAAAGACCAATACCAGGGGTGTCCAACCATGGTCCTTGGGGGCCACTATCCAGCATGGTTTAAAAGGTTGAATTGTCTGTTCGGCAGGTCGTTAAGATCTGCAGAAGCAAGTTAATTACCTACTCATTGAAGTCAGACATTCTTACACAGAGAAACTTCTAAAATCTAGATGATTGCTGACAATAATTTAAAGAACAAACAAATAGATGATTAAACCGAGTCTAAACCAAAAAACTTTTGCACAAAAAAATTAAGTCTTGGCTAAAAGAATGTGGTCAAACTTGCAAAAGTGCTTTAGGTATGCACAACCGTGGGTAGACAACAAGACACGGGTGGATAACAGAAGTGCAACAAAAAGAAAAAAGAAGCGCATCAGTGCTTGTAACATAAGCCCCCCCCCCCCCCCCCCCAAAAAAAAGCACTTTACAACACAATCAGTCATTCACCCCTTCACAAACTAGTGATTATAAGCTACAATACAGCCACAGCTGCTCTGACAGAGGCGAGGGCTGCCATACACTGGTGCCACCAGTCCCTCTGACCACCAGCAGGCAAGGAGGGTTAAGTGTCTTGCCCAAGGACACAACATCAGCATTCTCTGGTGGGAGCTGGGATTGATCCTGCAAACTTCTTATTACTGGACAGCCCACTTACCTCCTGAGCCAGTGAGTCTGTGCTCAGAGCTCTGGTGATGTTTACTGACTAGTCCAGAAAGTATTTTGTGAAGATGATTGTAGATTTGTTTAGCCAAATAAAAACTGTTTTGCAGTTATTTTATTTTATTTGTTTTTATCTATCAGAGATTTGTACAAAACAGCATGATTTATGTTTGATCTACAACAGAGATGGTTGCTTGACTGACAGACACACACACACACACACACACACACACACACACACACACACACACACACACACACACACACACACACACACACACACACACACCCACACACACACACACACACACACACTTTGACGGGCAGAGGCTCAATGTTCAGGGGACACAATGAACTAAAGTTTGAGGCTGCTTTAGTGAAGCACTACAAGTCATGAAAAACAAAAAAAAAAATCTTGCTGCCTTTCTAACCTCAGTGATTACAGGAAGGGACCAAGAAAAGGGAAACCAGAAAACAAGAGCCAAACAATATTTAATCAAACCAAACAAAGACAATAAAATGGTGTAAGCTTTTACTTAAATACAAATCATTAAACTTGAAAATATCTAAGGTCAATAAACATAATAAATCCAATTTTGCATTATTTCTCCAAGCAGTACTCCTCCTTTTCCAGTTGGTATGCTCCAAGAGCTTTTAAGCAGCACTCAGCATGTGCCATCTTTTGTCTTGCTTGCTCACGAGACAAACCAGAAAGAGATGAATGCATACTCTCCACACATGTTAATGATTAACTCAAATCTGAAGAACCAAAAAGTCATTTTAAAACTTGTTTACCATTCTCAGTATTTTTAGTAGATTGCTCTGGTTTTACTGTGTTGGTTTTTGGCTTGTTAAACAACGTTATGCTGTTATAAGGTAAAGTTATGTTAAGTTGGCTTGACTAATAGTGATCTGTAGAGAAGGCCTTGTGAAGCATCACAGCCTATTACCCAAAGCTTTCCTTTAATCATGCATGTTCACTTCTCTAATGGAAATGTCTAACGTTTGTGGTATCCTTAAGTGAGCTTTGGTCATTTCCAGAGTAAGGCTATCTCTCTTTTAACATGCACACATATCCACAGTAGTTCACCTTTTGCTAAATTGTGACCCGTACAGAGCATCCCTAATAACGAAGTTTGGGCTCCAGTGGAATTTCTTTAGTGATCATCTTTTCCTTCACTCTTCTATCTTCCTCCCAGAACCTCTCCATTTCCTTACTCTGCTGAATACAGTGTAGAACAGGGGTATTTGATTCTTGGCCTGGAGGTCTGGTATCCAGCATGTTTTAGTTTTAACTCAAAACACATCTGATTTCAATCAGCAGGTGATAAACAAGCTTCTGCAGAGCCTATACCATACCATGCCATACCACTTTATTTGTAGAGCGCTTTTAACACGGCATTACAACCGACCATAGCGCTGCACATAAAAACAACATATAAAAACACAAGCTAAAATAGTCGTGTGTATCATATGAAGCAGAAAAAATAAAATAGTTAAAAGAACAACAAACTAAAACAATAGAAAAATTAAAACCAGAATGTAAAACACAAATTTTAAATTGAACAAACAAGGTGGAAAAACTAAGGATGAGTTAATGCTTTATGGTTTGGGAGTTGAAGGCCAGGGAGAAGTAGTGGGAGCCTGACAAGCTGCTGCCCAGGTATATCAAGTGTGTTGAATCAGAGAAACCATTAAAATGTGCTGGATACTGGAATGAAACACCCCTGGTATAGAACATTCCCTTTTCCAACCTGCACACTGTGCGACTATCTGAAATGTTGTCATTATATTTGTGTCCTTTATCAGGAGTGATTAATGTTCACATAAACTATTTATACTGTAACGCTCTCAACTGAATATCATATTTAGTTTGGTCTCCTTTAAGGATGAATTCCCACTCAAAGTGAGCCTGTGCTCACAGCTGTTTTACTGACAAGAGAAGGCAAAAGTGTGAAGACCTTTCTAAAAATCTTTAGTCAAAATTTAACAAAGAAACATTTGTATTTGTTTTTATTTTCCACTATATTTGTACTAACATGACTTTTCTGATCTACAACAGAAATGACTGATGCGCATGCATGACACAAGACTGTGGGTTCAAATCCATGGTCGGGTCATACCTAAGAAGAAATGGGACCTAATGTCTCCTTGCTTTACACTCGCATTAAGGGGTTTGGTTGGGGGGTGGGGGTGGGGGGGGGGTGGGGGGTGGGGGGGGTTTAAACCACCAGAGCGTGTGTCTGCAGCATGGATGTGGATGGGCCAAATGCAGAGAACAAATTTCACACATTCAACATTAACTATAGGGACAATTTTTCCCAAGCAGTTATTTGAACTACAGGGACAACACTCTACTCTGTAGAGCTGTTAATTATCTAAAAACAGGTGGCTACCACCTGACAGATCCTTTTTT